CAGGAATATAAATGACAAGAAGCCCTCTGAGGGGATACAGAAAGAGACCTTTTCGTAATTTTGCCTTTAATGGCAGCATAAGCCAGCGATCAAAGTTTTGAAGGAGCCAAGGGGAGAAAGAAGAAGGCATTTTACTTTCAGAAGGCTTCCAGAGGTGAGCCAGCCTCTCAGCTAGTTGTGGCACCAAAGGTGTCTGCTTATTAAATATAATCTAGAATTAATACGTTACTTTCCCTGTAAACTCTAGATATACTTCAAAATGCACTTTAGTGATATCATGTACTTGCTGGGATGTAATGACCATAAATAAAAATGCTCAACAAACCTGTTGGATGCTGCAAACCAAAATAAATGTGCCTAGTTCCAGGAGTTGGAAGATGTGTTTTTGGCAAGTTGTGAAGGTCATTTTAGTGGCCAGTAACCTGAGGTGCTAAAATAAAGAGATTAATTTCTCTGAAAGGATGTTAACTACTCCTTTCCGATAATGGGCAGTGCACATCTTTTGGCAAATGACCATATGGAGTTACTCAAAGCGTCCTAGATTTTTGGAAGGATGTCAGAAATCCTGTAAATGGCATTCTGCGTTTAAATAAAGCTTACTGAGTTGGCACATTATATGACTGTTTCCTTGAGATGGTAAACCATGAGGTTGCAGATCAGGTTGGAAGCACTTTCAGAGTAATAAATTGTGGTTATGTCTGCTTATTAATTATGCAAAACTGGTATATAAATTACCATTGCACCTGATTTCTAACTTTCTTTTTTTTTATAGACTAAAATTCTTGGTGTTTTCTTTATTTCGTCTCAAGAGTTCCTGTCCAATGCTTACGTTTTGGCTGTACTCTTATTTTTTGCCCTTCTATTGCAAAGGACGTTTCTCCAAGCATCATACTATGTTGCTATTGAAACAGGAATCAACTTGAGAGGCGCAATACAGGTAGCCAATGTATTATTTATTAACCTATTTTCATACAATCATATGTGTGTTTGTAAATACAAATTATAATTGTAGTCCTTAAATTCTGAAATGCTTCTTTCCTGAAATGTGTTGAATGTTGCCGTTAAAGATTGTGTTAACTTAGACCTGCGTTCTCTTTCCTCTGCATCTTATTTGATGATTTTATGTAAATATTTATTTGTAATATCTAATGCTGTATTTCTTCTTACCTTTGAGCATAAATTTGCTGAGAGTAAAACTAAACGTAACTTTTGAAAGAATCTGTGTTCTGAACTACACCTCTCCCATCCCAAAGGCCCGTTTTTGTAACATCCCATGCAAATAATGCATCTTTAGAACATCTTTTATATATACTTTGGCCAAAAGGATAGGTTGTATTCCCAATGCATGGAGTAGTGTGGAGTCTGTAATTACTGAGCTTAAGGAAGGTTGGTAAAATGGAGTCCACAATCATTCTATAACTGTGAACAGCAGATCAAAGTTTTATGTGCTATGCAAAGATCTATGCCTGGAAATGAATTAGGTGTAAGATTACAATGTGATATTGCCCAGCGTGCTGGCTGAAACCTACCCTCTGACAGCCTGAGAGCCAGCCTTGTAAGTTACACCATCTATCCACTGAACTGCATAGATCCTCTGAGGGTCTGTGTGATGGATGGATGCTTTCAATAGCAGTGTAATTGTTTAATCCTCTTTTGATCTTACGCTTGGAAGCACTTGTCAACTGCCAGACTTCTGAATTCCATCCATTGGTTTTCCCTTATTAGAGTGAAGTATAAAGTTCCTAAAGAAATAAAAACTTGACCCGAAATATATATAAGAAAAATTGCATGTGTTGTATCAAGGAGAAGAGCTGCAAGTAACTGAAAAATACATGGACCACAGCAAGTGTGAAAGGGGAATTGCTGGAAAATAGCGTTACATTAGTTTTTTTTAAGAAAAACTTTGTGTTCTCTACACTGGGTATTACAGAGGCCCAGATAATGCCAGCAGTTGAACCATTCAAATTGGAAAATTTCTAGCCACCACTCTAAGCAGCAGAATTAGTGTTAATTGCAGTCTCTGAGCCAATATTTTTATCCATTTTTTTCCTGTAATTTTTCAATATTCTTTAAACCTTTTATCTCTTTTCCTCCCCTGTGTAAATCTGCACCTGTTCAACGTGCCCTGTGTGACTTTATGCTTCATGAGGGCCAGCTGGCACTTGAATGAAAGGCACTTACTGAATCAACGTGCCTCCTGTCAGCTAAGTCTCATGACTGCAAAGTTTCACTGTGTAGTCTTTTACTAAATCAGCTGGTAAAAGTACACTTTCATTGTTGTGTATTAAGTTATTTTTACACACGGTGCCTGATTCTGCACTGAGAATTACTACGTAATTCAGGATAAAATCGAACCTGTTGCTTTAGTTGTCTGTGAATTAAACTTTGTAATGGAACTGAGCTCTCCAGCCAAAACGTAACAATGTTCTCAGCCAGGAGCATGGTTCTGAGGTTGGATGGGACCTAAATCAGTTGCCAGAGGAAAATAACAAGGATTATAATATATTGACTGTTATATATTGAATGTAATAATATATTACTTTATTAGCACTAGTAACAGCAAGGGCACTCCGTGGAGAAGTTGGAGGTATAAATCATAGTCACTAATGTGATTCTTAGACATTTTTCATTCTCTTACTGGTCCACAGGGAGGCAAAAAGGGAGTGCTTAGACGACCATTATGTACCTAATTGGACTGTGCTTTTTGTGGGTGACCAGTAAGACAGTAGCTTAAAATTTTCCATCATAACACAAAAGGTCAAACTTTAAGCTCTTCATTCAAGTTACTGTGAATGTTGGTTTTGGGCAGCGTGCTGGACTACACCTGGGTTTTAGATGGAGTTACAAATCTTTTTTTATTTCTATACGGTAACACTTTTTAACCTCTCTTCCAGACAAAAATATACAATAAAATTATGCAGCTTTCGACTTCTAACATGTCTATGGGGGAGATGACTGCAGGCCAGATCTGTAACCTGGTTGCCATAGACACAAATCAGCTGATGTGGTTCTTTTTCCTCTGCCCTAACCTTTGGGCTATGCCAGTACAGGTGAGGAGATTGAACGTGCTTTTGTTATTGATGTTTGTAGTGATTGACTGCTTGGGAATTTCATGAGAGTAGAAATATTAAAGAAGTTAATAACTTGAAATCTTATTTCAAGTTATTAATATCTTGAAACATTGTACGTAAGATATTGCACATCTGTGACATGACTCTAGGTATTTAGGATTGTATTAGGATCTTGACCACTGCCAAACATGCTTTGGATTTGTAACAAGAATTTATAGGGTGCAGCAGGTTATGTTATTCCAGTGCATTCATTTATTACGTCAGGGGAGTTAACTGGAATGTATTGCAATCATTTGTCTTCTGAATCCCAGCAGAAGAAAGAGAGTAGCAGTTTATTCAAAAACGCGATCGCTTAGAAATGATCCATTGGACATCTCTTAAAACTGCTGCTGCCTCATGGATGATAAATTCTAGCATATGAAATTCCACAGATTCATTTGTTATATTAAATGGTTTTGCTGCTTTATCCTCTTCGGTGTCTTTTGTCTCCTATCTCTAAATACCACTCTCATCCTTTCAGTCCCCTTTCCCACATGCACGACAGAGCAGGTCACTGTTCTAACTCACACTCAATCGCCTGGTGACTCCTCGTTCCATGTCCTGTAGCTTTGTGTAATGCCCTTGTGTTTTATCAAGTCTTTAAGATGAGGAAAGCAGAGTCTCATCTCAGAGTACTTTTGCCATTGATTTAAATTAATCCTAAGCATGTTCCCTTGCAGAAACAGGGGTTCATATGCAATGTCCAACATGGAAACGTGGTGTTTTTACCTCCTCCGTTGTTCCAGCTTTATAGATTGTGCGTTGTGTCACTTGAACTTGCAGAGCTACTGAAAAACTAATCTAATCAAAACTGGTCTATTTTCAGTAAGGTAGTATTCCTCTGAGTCTGTGAAGTGGTGAATCTCACTGGATGGTCATGTGATTAATTTAAGTTTATGCTAGTGAGAAGGTAGAGCAGACACAGAGTAGTAGTAGGAGGCCAGAGCGATCTCAGTACAACCTTGGATCATTTTTCAAAGTTCACGCTTGCTGAAACAATGAGAAATTCAAATTACTTAGTTTAGAAGAGCTAGTACTTAAACAAAACTGTAGAAACCTCCTGCACTTCCATTTAGGAACTTACTGGGAAAGTTGACGGTAAAGCATGTGGTTTCATCTGATATTAATACAGTACCGTGCAATTCTTTCTGCTTTCTTCCAGCTACTTGGCATATTTCTGTTGAGAGTGCTTCAATGCTAAAAGTAAATACAAACAAAAGAGGCAGTGGACTTTAAATCCACTCAATATTTTCTAAAAGTATCACTTAGTTTCAAAAACATGATGAAAACTCCGTTGTGTTCATGTCACAAAGGTGGTCTGGTTCCAGCACTACATAGAGGCTGATTTGGCTGGTGTGGAAGTCAGAAAGCTGCAAGTAATATACCCAGCTGCTCTGCATTTTGGGTTGCCTGCTCTTGCCCGAAGATGAAATCGTTTTCATGGGACTGTATACGGACTGCAACTGGTAGATCACGTTTCCAGTTTCTAATGTGGCTTTAGGAGTGTTGCTTAGGAGTTCTTGTGTCCATCAACATCTGCTACTGGTAATTTTCTTCTATAAGATGTTGAGCACGTAAGAATATTACATTGAAAAGTTGGGATGGGGAAGAAAAGCCAGCCGTTCAGGTGATTATATAAATTATTTGAATGTCCTTCAAAGAGTAAGGTGCTAGACTACTGACCATCAGGAGAGCTGAATTCGTTTCTGACAATAGAGATGCATATTAAAATTAAATGGATTTTAGAGTTGTTTTTGTTGAAACCAGGAGATTTTGGTCAAGCTGCTACAGCTCAGATAAGCAAGTCCTCCTTTGTGAGGATCGTAAAATAATCTGATTGTATGATTAACAGATTAATTTTCTAACCTGGAAAAAACCTCCCTGGTTTAAGTATTTTCCCTGGGTTTATTTTTTTCTTGACCAAGGAAAATACTAGGGAGGGGCAATGACGGTCCTTCTTCGTTCTCAGTGATAGTGAAGTTTTGAATGCATCTTGTGTCCTCTTTGTGTAGTCTCATTCTTTGGGACGTATTTGGTCTCTGGAAAACCAGCTAGTACCCTCTTGAAATAGTCTGGGAGTCTTCACGCTTTTGCTATGTGTTTGAAACCTAATATGTTACCATATGTCTTCTAGTATCTCTGTGGTAGTGAGGGGTAGATTGCTTCTGAGACTGCAGAAGGATGTGGAGGAAGGAGAAGTCTGTCTGAATCTCTGGTAAAACTTTCGTTAACTCCAATGAGAGTTGTGTAAAGCCTCAAATCAGGATAGTGTTGAGACTGCAGAAGGATGTGGAGGAAGGAGAAATCTGTCTGAATCTCTGGTAAAACTTTCGTTATCTCCAATGAGAGTTGTGTAAAGCCTCAAAAGTGAGCGCATTAAGGTGTAAACAATCAGCAGCTTACTAACTGATGACTTCTTTTAACTGTGCTTTCGTGGCTAGGGTTTGCGTTTACAACACGTGAGAACTGTATATAACTATACCTGTTAAAATATTCAGATTTAAAGTGGTTGTAGTCATATTTATACAGGTCATAGTGTGGCTGCATTCATGTGGTATAAATGCATTTGCTGCCTTTTTGTGTAGGAGTAACTGCATCAGGGTATAGACATGTTTTCCTGATCTGTTCTGGAGAGGTTTATATGCCAGTTAAAAACTTTTTACTTTCTAGAATTAAAAAATGTTGATGAATATCGCAATTATAAGCAGGAATTTTTCAGAAAGAAACTTGACATTTTTTAGCATCAAGATGGTTTCACTGAAATTATAGGGGGAAAAAACTGGAAACCAGATTATTTTAAAGAGAGGGGAGGGGAGATCAAGGAACATGTCCTTATACTGATTTCTAATTGCAAAAGAGAAGACAACTATAATGAAAAGAAACTTACATGAAATATATTAAATATGTTTACAGGTTGGCAGTTTGTTAGTAATAATTTGGATATCAGAGTATTTTTTGTCCATTTACTAGAAGTACCCTGCAGTAAGAAATCAGTGATTGTATACTGCTTAGATGATATTGCTGAAAGAGCTACAAGACTTTAAGAGTCCACCCCTTTAATGATAATGTTTAGGGTCCAGTTATACCCTAGCCTTAGTCTCCATTGTAAGTCTGTTAGCAAAACAGGTGATGGAAGAGGCACCAATTTCATGTTGACTTTTTGTAAGACCCCTCTGGCAGCTCAGTGTAGAGAGCGCTTTAGTGCAGCTGAGAAGCCAATTTCATGGCATGTTCTGTAACAACATTTTGCTCTAATGTGCCAGAAGTCACACGGTCGTAAAGATTTCCTGATGGTCTTCTGAAAATATTATTGTATTTGCATTAAAATTCACCCTGCGATGCTCCTTAGGAGATGAGGACAGTGTCAAAGCGTGCTCCTGTTTTGTGGATGGTGCAGTCATTGCAAGGCACAAATCAGTCAGTCACGTTGGTCACAAGGGTTTCTTCAAAACATGTTTCCGCAACATTCATTCAGTATGTTGTTTTATGAGGCAGTGAATGAAATTACTGGATGCTTGAGAGAGGGCTAATAAAAAGTTGCACAAGCTTCATTATTATTTAAAACAGATTTTTAATTGTTTTGTAGCTCTTAAACTAACAATCAGCACTTCAGCATCTGCTGTAGATTTTGTAATAGCCGTTCATAACAAGTTAAATTATCTGGGTTTTCTCTACAATCCAGATAATTTGAGCCCCATCTTTGCTCTGACTGGAGTCAATAGGAGCTTTATCATTGCCTTAACTTACTGTTTGAAGGCCATTGAAGTCCATGAAAAGAGGCCCGGGGATGCCCATCAATTGAAAGATGCCCTCAGTAGGTTTGGCTCAAACCCTGGGAGCAAAATGAAGCCCTATGAAGGCTTTCTCCCCCACCTCCATTTCATAAACACTCTTGTTTGACTTCATTGTGATTATTAAAGAATCCTGTATTCTCCTATCTCTAGTTCACTGGCAGGGGTAGCTTACAGCTGTAATGAAAGGATGTTTGTCTCTTTCAAAACTGGCCACAAAGCAGTCTCTGGCTGAAAGTATTTCTTATCTTCAATAAATAATCAAGACAAAATAACCAGAGCTATTGGTGAGCTTCTTGCTCGTGATGTATATCTCTGGCAGGTAAGAGCTTTGGGATTTTAAAGCAAAGTGTTTCATTACACAGTTTGTAAAAAAAATATGATCATTACCTTCTCAGAAATATTAATGAGAGCCTTCCCATCTGCCAGATGCTGTCCTCGAGCAGTTCAGATATTATCTACGTACTGTTTATTCTTGACTGTGGGGTATGATAAATATAAAATTACTTGCAATAATGCTTACAGATTTCAGCACTTTTCAGATAAAAGCATTCGCATACTTACATTGAGAATATTTTTTTCTCATACATGATGAATATGTTTTAGAAGTTTACCCTTATTATCACGATATAAAGAAGACAAAAATGGGATAATTTTTAGTCTATTGTGAAAACATAGAATTTTGTTGCAAAGACTGACCCTTTCAATAGCCAGGATGGGGTTGGGAAAGCAGGTGTGAGCTAGCAACTCCCTCTGGATCCAATAGCTAGAATAGCTTTCCTTTCGTCTATGGGAGAAGCTGAGGCTCTGTTTCTGGGACCAGATGGTCCCATAATGTCCTTGACACTCAACCAGTAGCAGGGGAAGGCAGTAAAGCAGGGAGTCAGTATTCTGCATTGCCTTTGTATTATTGAACATCTCTTAACTGTGCACTGTTCGATGCTTTCCTGTATTTTGAGTGCCTAGATGGTCTGCCCGTGAAGAAGCACTGGGGAACAAATATCTTGACCTATAAAGACCAAGACCATTTCATGTTTTGGAGGGGAGCTTTGACAGGGCTATCTGACAGGGGCCTTGCATGTTTTCTTTGGCTTCATACATTCATGGATTTCCTGACTTCAGATGAAAGATGATTTCTTACTTGTCACTAGAAGATTTTTAATTTACAATTTAACCTTTGCTCTTACTAGATTTGTGGTGTATAGAATCATAGAA